ACACTCAGCCATACGCCCATAGCAAAGAAACAAAGTTTATTTTCAGGATATTACTCTAAAGACGAAAAACAAAAACAAAAATTCCAATTGTTATAGAACAGTTCAATCTTACTTGCTCTTGCAGTGTGTCTACTAAAACCATCAATTGGTCAACTTGTCTCTGCAGCCTGGTCAAGTGTTCTTCAGTGGTCATTGCCTCAACACCAGCATCATCTGCTTGAAGAGCATTTTCTGAAGTTAGTCAAAGTAGAATAACAACAATATTAAGAAAAGATAAAAAACACACTAGTGATACCCCAAAATGTCAGCTATCATGGAATCGTCTCCATTATGGTTTATGTGAGGAAGACAGCTGTTTTACCTATTAAGATATATATATATATATATATATATATATATAGATATATATATATATATATATATATAAATTATTATTTTTCAACATTATATTTAGTGGATACATATGTTTGAGTAGACATTTTAATAGTCTAAATTTACATCTACTGGCCTGTGCATTTGAGAGTCTTAATGAAGAAAATGTGCCTTCCAGCAGGATTCGAAGGGGGAAACCACCATCAGAAGCCAATGTCAGTATAATAGTAATATAAATACTATAATAGTAATATAAATACTATAATAGTATTATAAATACTACTTTATTTCATGTATACAATCAACAAAATAGAAGATCTTATCAAACAATATCCAGATCCCATGACAATTGCTTTCTATAAGAGTGTGAATCCACATATCAACCCTTATAAGAAAGTGCCAATCCCATTAAAAGATGCAATTTAACAAGAGCTTGATAATATGAAAAAAATGGTGTTATAAGAAAAATGGTAGGACCAATTGACTAAGTCATGAATCAAGCTTACTCACCCAAAAAGGATGGTAGTGTAAGAATCTGCCATTAACCCAAGACACCTGAACACAGCACTTTGTATATCACAAAGTCCTTACAATAGAAGAACTAACATTCACTTGTCAGGTTCCAGCATAATTTCCAAGCTCAATGTTAATGCTGGTTACTTCTTGACCCACTTGTAATCAGACTCTTGGTTCTGAACTACATTCCAGTCACCATACCATAGATAATGTTTCTAGAGACAACTATTTGGATTGGAAATATGACAGGATTGACTTACATAGACTTATTTCATTTGCTTACAACCAACAAGTTTAAAAGTGTTTTACTATAGAAAATGTATAGAAAAAGAGTCTAAAGTATATCCACTGTTACATGACTTTATGGATCAAGTATACATAATGAAGCAGACCTCTCTTCCAGTTGTTTCCACTGAGTGCAAGCACACACTGCCTGATTGAACTCACAACTACTATATCATCCAATTAACAAGCCAATGCTTTTATCCACTAGGCACTTGTTCTGTATAATGGACTGATGAATAAATGCATTGGTTTGTACTTACACTTGGTGGAAACTGGTGAGCAATAGCTGAACAATACTAAATAAAAATAAGAACTAAATGATACTCTCAGACATGAGCATTGGAATGAAAACAGTCTCTCCCCATAGATTAAATAAAGGGTTCAGTTCAGAATTCCCTGTAAGTTATCCAGATCAATATACACCTGAAGGCACAACGTCCAAAGTGTTGTGATAGCAACAACAAAGATGAGGACGATAGTCTGAATATAATTAGTGTAAATAATGTTCTGCTATGTTCTCCTAAATCTGTAGACCAGATAAACCTTTCATATGTTCCATACATAAAATATGTTCATACATAATGATATAAATTTTATGTTGATATTTGGACTCGCATGTTCATCTTGGTTGTTATATTTATGGGTATGACACTCAAAACCAAGTCACTATAATTACTTTTATATATACATAAAACAGACCTCAAACTGTTTTATTGGAGGTACAAAATTTAACTGATGCAATCAAAACAGACAATAAAAATGACAAGTGGAAAGTACAATTGTAATAATTGGCAATACAAAAAGAAAACAAAAAAAATTCTTTTTTCCATGTTTTCTAATGACTGTAATTGGAGTTTCCCTCTTGTCCCATTTTATTATATTTGTTTTGATTGCATTAATGTTTTTAATATCAGTATCATAGTAGTTTACCCATGATATCAAAAAATTGAGAGCAATATTAAAGAGGTTTTGTCATTGTCTTGTACTTATACAATAACAAAAACTTTATGCTATTCTGCAAAACTTGACTATCTCAGTGAAGAAAAGTGTCATACATACACTAAAGACCTATATCTGTTATATGTGTGAACACACACACATATATATATATATATATATACACACACACACACACACAGTTGTATGGATATTAGTTTGTAACCCCGAGTTTCATGCTTTTTGTCTGATGATCACAAAAGTGTGAAACCCAGGGTTACAAATTAATATCCATACAACTGAATATGTTAGCTCTTTCACAAATATTGAGCATTTTCCACTATGTATATATATATATATATATATATATATATATATATATATATATATATATATATATCACACATTATGAAATGGGCAAAGTCCGACAATTATTTTAAGACATTTTTATGTTTATACATTCTTTTTATAGATACAAATATTTAAGTAAATGCTCTGTTTTATGATAAACAGTATTAATAACATTTACCGCCCTGAACATTTCCAGGTTTGATTCCTGTCGGAGAACGAATATTTTCTATGAAAATTTCTTGGACATTCATGGCGGTAAATGTTATTAATACAGTCTTAAAATAATTGTCAGACTTAGTCCATTTCATAATGTGTGACGTCATTTGTTTACATTTGGATACACTTTGAGCAGATATGAATGTAAAGTGTGTGTGTATATATATATATATATATATATATATAAGGTCCTAGATTGTTCAGCTGCACAAATTTTATTTTATGACCAGAAGATTGCATTCAAGATGAAACAGGCAGTCCACTTTCATATGTTATATCTCTACTATTGCTCACATTTACCCATAAATCTAGCATACCTTAAAAGTATATTTTATCATATATATATATATATATATATGCATTGTTAAGGAAAGTTTTACAAATAGATGCCAACTTGTTGAAGGCCAAGTAAAATGCAAATTTCAAACACTTTTCTGCACTATACAAGATGATATTCCTAAATAGAACTATTTTTGATATGAAAATCAAAACAAACCTTGAATAAAAGAACACCAATGAAGGACAGTTAATTAATGATATATACTTTTTTTTTAAAAATCAATATGCAAATTAGTTAAACCTGAAGAGTGATATCACCTAGAAGATAATACATAATAAATGAGCTTTTATTGTATAAATTACTAGAGTTTTTTCAACCCCAGAATTCGTTGAATAATTGTGCTCCAATTTTGCATTTATTCATATAGATTCCATGATATAGGTTTTACTTGATTAGCTGTTATGTTTCTCTAACTTTTCAAATGTTGAATGTATAACTAATTCTAATTTCTATTTTCCCATCTTTACACTATATTAATTTTATCTTATAAATTGTCCCGTTGTCACCCATGAAATAAAAATAATTGTTTGTACAGAAAATAAGGATCTATGTACATCAAATCATCTTTAAATTAAGTGGCAACAGAAGAATTATCACTGATCTTTTAAAAGATAAGCTTAACATTAATTCAATACTTAAATGCAGTGATCAATTTTGAGTTCTTCTGTAGTTTATTGATGCCTATCACATCTACTCCTCCCAAGCTATTGTGATGATGACCAAACTAAGAGTCCTCCCCAGGAGCTAGCTTAAATGAACCATGAAAGTAACGATAATGGCTAGTATAATATATTAATATATATTTTTAACCTCACATAATTTGGTAACCCTGAATTTGAGCTCAATAAAAATTGTTCCCTGCACCTAACTTTTCTAGGGCTTTTGAATGAGCAATGAATCATTGGAATCTGATGAGTGGGAGCAGAGGAGTTGTTTGGATACACACACACACAAACACACACTGTACTTTATATATAAGATTACAATGAGTATTAATGATAAGTATTCTAGTTTTAATTTATATGGGTAAAATTTAATTGTTTTTATTTCTTATAAAAAAATCAGATTGTATTTAAAATTTCTCTATATAACAAAATAGAATTAATTATTGTTTAAACTGAGAAGCTGGCTTAAAAGAATCATAATGGAACTGGATCATGGCTTAAAAATATACTGGCTTATATATAATGGATTATTGATTAAACTGATAAGCTGGTTTATATGAATCATAATGACAATGGATTATTGTTTAAACTAAGAAGCAGACTTATATGAATCATAATGAAAATGGATTATGGCTTAAACTGATAAGCTAGCTTATATGAATCCATGACAATGGATCATTATTTAAATATAAGCTGACATATGAATCATAGTGAAAATGGATTATTGTTTCAATTGATAAGCTAGTTTATATGAATCATAATTTATGGCATTATTTTGGTGATTACAAATGCAATGAATCTAATATTCATTGCTCTCTACTTCAAGGATGGTCACACCACTGGCCATTTAATACCATTTAATTATATTCAATATAATATTTGCATAGATTTTTTTAAATTTAAATTTGAGCTTTGTTTGGTTAAGAATATAGTAAATAGTATTTATAGATTTAATCTGATTACATTTTGTTAATTAAATATTGAAATAAATTTCATTTACAAAATATCTACCCATCTTACCATTTCGACAGATCCACTGCATTTCTTGAACAACATGGCTGTATAACTTTGCTTTATAGAATAAACCCTGAAAAATTAAGATTAAAAACAATAAAGATATTCACAGCAATATTCTTAATTTTGTAATCATGAAGAAATTCTTTAAATATATTTAAGTTCTAAGAACCTGAACTATTTCTGGTAATAATATTTTTTTAATTTTTAATTCACCTTATAAAATTAGTAATCACATAAAATCATATTTTGACATAGGATAATTTATTACCTTTAAGTTCTTCTATTTCAATATATTGTAGACTTATGGCCACATCATGTTGAGACACCAGTTCCCATAGGATCACTGAAGTTAAGCAACATACCTAGATGGGTGACCATTTGGGAATACCAGGTGCTGTAAGCTTGGATGTGTGGGTGTTGTAATGGTTAATCAGAGAAAAGGTCTTCCAATTCCCATTGAGTTCTTTATATTTATTGATGCCCAAATACCCTTGGAAAAGATATGAATCCATCTCTTCTCTCCCCAGCTATGGGTTAATTAGTAAAACTTGTATCACTAAACCATTATCATCTCCCAAAAAATTCTTAAAATATTTTCTGGCTTTTAATAAGATAAGCCATAGAAAATAAATTACTCAAATCAGTTGCTGTACTGCAAGGTAATCAGTCAATATGATGAAATGAAAGAAAATGTCAATAATGAATATCTCAAAAGTATAAAGAAAATAATGGGTTGGAATAAATATTCATAGCATTTTTCAATAGATGTGTATGAACACAAAATGCCATTTCATACATAACTAAAATTTATGACATATATTCATATCCTGAAAGATAACATTTCATTGTTTCTTTCTATATGATTGTGTGTGAATTGTAAACTTTAAATGTTTTTATATTAAAATTGAAAGTGGAGGAAAATGAGATGCATTTTTTCTATTTGATACACTTTTATTTCCAGAAAAGAAAAAAACAAAACAAAAACACTTTGTGAAGAGCAAAAAAAGATCTGTGCCCTTTATGGAGATGGTGCCATAGCTAGAAGTACTGTTTGCACAAATTTTGAGCTTGAACATCAAGAACATTCCAGCAAGCTTGCAGTTGTTGAAAATGCTGATTAAAAATCATCCCGGTTACATGATACATGATATAACAGAGATACACTACATATTTCATATGAATATAAGACATTCAGAAACATTTGGATATGTGAATTTTTTTTTAAGCTTTTCACCCCAAGCAAGGTGGGATTGTCACTAGCACACAAGGTGTTACAGAAAGTGGGAGCAAGAGTAAAGAGGTGTGAAAAAGGAAAGGATGAAAAGAAGGATGGGGAATAGATCAAGGCATCTGGAGATGTTGATTGACATTGCATTTGAATAGTTGGAGATTCTAGCTATCAGAGAGGCAAGTAAGAGGAAGGGAATTCCACAGACAGGAAGTGTGAGACATGAAGCTATTGGAGTAGAAGAGACTGAGATGCTGACCTAGTGGCACGTTTAAATTCATGCAATATTCCATGCAAGGGCGAATGGTAGATTTGAAGGATGGACTCAGGCGAGAAAAACTTTCTAGCACAACACAGAGAATCAACTTTCCTTGCGATAGATGAAGTATTGATTAAATATAATTGTTCCAACTCAGGTCAGTGGACAGTGTGAGACCAAGCAGTCACAAAGACGTGCTCTCGTGGTGTTGAGCATCAGACATTCTAATGGGAGGCAGTGAGGGTTCTCTGTGGCAGGCAATAGAGAGCAGTTTTGTTTTTGAGGCATTAACCAGCCATTTCCTGCCTCCGTCAACACCTGATCGGGGGTCCTTTTCAAGACCAACTGCCAGGTTAGTTTTGTCAGCGATACCAGATTTAAAAAAAGTTGATGAACTACATTTCCATTATCAATTTTCTGCTCAAATGCAACAAAAATGACCCATTTATCAAAAGAATGATTGCAGGTGATGAAAATTGGATTTTTTACAACAATATGGTGCAAAAAATATCCTGGAGAAAATAAAACAAACCATTGTTAACTATTCTGCATCTAAGCAAGGTGATGCTAATATTTTGGTTGGATTGGAAGGATATTGTGTATTATGAGCATTTTTGGTAAAATCAGGCATTTAATTCAAACAATTACCATTTCCGAAGAGACACTAATTGACAAAAAGTATCCAAAATTAGCCTGTCTTCCATTAGACCTCACATTCCTTTGCAAACTCGGCAGAAAATGGTACAACTTTGCTGGGAGGCCCTACTATACTAACTGTACTCACCTGACCTTGCAACTTTGGATTACCATTTATTTTGTTCCCTACAAAATACTCTTAATAGTAAAAAATTGACTTCTCTGGAAGCCTGTAAAAAACAACTAAGATCAGTTTATCATCCAGAAAGATAGCAAGTTCTGAGAGGATGGAATCATAAAGCTGCCTCAAAGATGGTAAAAAAATTGTGTTGTTGAATAAATTGATCTAAAAATTGTCTTTGGAATCTACTTAAAAAAAAGCAAGAAACTTTTTGACCCAATATTGGAAAATAAACTCAACATCAGGAATTTAATCAATAACTGGAAAAATTATTGGATAGCTTCTATTTGGAGATATTCAGGATCATTATAAAGTTGGACAAGTGAAAAATTAATGAAATTGAATCACAAAACAAAGAGGTCGATGATAATATATAAAGCCTCATACCAAAGAGATTAAATTGATAGACTATATGAAAAGAGGGAAGAGGTGTGCTTGTCTGAATTGAAAATTCAGTCAACAGATAACAAGAGACTTGAGAACTCCACTATCCAGGATCATGAATATCATAATCTAACACCAAAGAATTGTAACCGAAATAATCAAAGAGTGAATAGAAGAGCAGGAAAATCCCAAATGAAAAACCAAAAGTAGAAAAGAAAGTAACTACCCAGTCATTTCAGGAGATCAATTTAATGGACTGTAAGTTGAAACAACATGGATATGGTTGTAAAAAGGACATCTGAAGAGAGAAAGTGAATCATTATTAATAGCAACTTGTTGATTTCAATGCTGCTAGGAATAACTGCAAAACTTTCCTCCCTCCCCTTTTATGGTCAAAAGTCCAAAAATGCATGCTGGGAAATTTTTCTTCACCAATAAAATAGGACAGTTTGCAGTTTGACATGACTCTGCTTTGTCTACGACAGACCACTGTATTTACTTGTCTGACCTTGTTGTTGTGTGTAGCTGCCAATTCATAGTTTGTGAACATTTTTGCATCTTTACCTGTGAACAATACTTTGCATATATTGTTTGCTTGCTTGCTTGATATTATTTCATTTTTGCCCCGTTCCTTTTTATTGCAAACTTTGTTAATTCCGTTTATTGGACAGTTCTGTTATTTATTTTGCATTTGACCATGGCTACTAACTCACCAGGTTATCCACCCAGAAATAGACTCAACAGTGACAAATCAAAACATGAACCATGGGAAGTAAAATTTTGGGATTATATGCGAATCCAAAAATTACACAAAAACAATCTTGGCACCTTTTGATCATCCCAATGACAAAGACTACCGTGAAAAGAATGCAAACACATTTGCCAAATTAATTCAATTTCTCCGTGATCGAAGTTTATCCCTTATTATGAGAGAAGCTCCTGACAATGGAAGAAAAGCACTGCAAATTTTGAGAGAGCACTATTTATCCAAAGGTAAGTCAAAAATAATTTCCCTATATACGGAATTAACATCCCTACACAAACTATTACTATGCTGAAACTATTACCGATTATATATATATTATTAGGGTCAAAAAATCAGCCACTTTATTAAAGGTTTCTAGAGAAATAATTGAAGATAGTTTACTAATCGCCATGGTCCTAAAAGCCCTTCCTTCTAATTTCAAGCTATTTACAACTGTTATTACTCAGAAAGAAAATCTACTAACGTTTAGTGAATTCAAAGTAGCATTGCAAAGATTTGAAGAAACTGAAAAGATGATTTTGTGAAAATATCGTAATGACTGTCCAAATTCCAAGACCAAAACCACAAACTAATGTTCCTACCTGTTTTACTTGTGGTAAAGTTGAACTTTGTGATGGCCAAAGTAAATTTTGGAATTATCCAGTAAATAATTCCCCCTCAAAACACTATAATTCCAATCTATTGAAAAAAAAAAAAAAATTATCTGCCTTGTTTGTCACAAACCTTTACATCAAAGTACTGAGTGCAGATGCAAAAAGAAAGCTCATTTCATAAAAAAAGTGGAACATTTTTCACATAATGAATATTCATTTCTGTTTCCATTTGGACTAGACACCGTTTCCAACAAAAATGTCTTATTTGTCAATTATGGTGCTACCACACATGATTACTGACGAATCTAAATTTCTTACTTTCAATAATGATTTTAATCCAGAAAATCATCATACTGAACTGGCAGATAATAGTCGAACCAGTAATATTGCTTTAAAAAGAAGCAATAATCAAATTACTATAACTGACATGGAAGGAAATATGCAAGATTGCATTTTAATGAATGCTCCATACATCCTTACATTTAAACAAAGTATATTCTCAGTATGAGCCACTACTGAAAAAGAAGCTTCTGTAAAATTTGGCCATAATTACTCAGAACTTATCTACCCTAATGGTGTGAAATTCAACATAAAAAGAAATGGACGCTTTATACTATTTAAATACTGCAGTAACCTCCAAAACTGCTACAAGTAACCTAAAACAATGGCATCAAATTCTTGGACATTGCAATCTGAAAGAAATTATATAACTACCATAAGTTGTGGAAGACATGAAAATTGTTGATAAATCAGATTTAAACTGAAATATGTATCCAAAGCAAAATGGTACAGTATAAAAACAAGATATCTAACAAAAGGGCAACTAAAATAATAGACCTTGTTCATTATGATCTAGCTGGGCCAATTGAACTGAGATCTTTGAATGGCTTCAAATATACACTTTGTTTCATGAATGATTATTCTGGTCTAATTATTTAGTTTCTGAAACAAAAAAGCGATACATTTCTTACCACAGAGAAATATTTGGCTGACATTGCTCCATATGGCTCTATAAAATGCCTAACAAGTGATAACAGCACAGAATTCACAGTTAATTTGCAGTATAAGCACCAAAGGCCCCTGGTATTGAGAATGTACCATTCTGGTGTGAAATTGCCTGGTTATTTTAAAAATGACATTAAAATATTGTGTTCAATTACCATTTTTGATTTATTGTCATTACAAGTTCGATCTCTTTCGCATTGTCCGGATGCCATTACTGGCATTGTTTACATACATTTTCCTCTAGTCGTAATACATGAAAACTTAGTTAACGGCCTTTTTACAGCTTTTCATATCTTACTTGTCTTGATTACTGTGAGATTTTTGTAGATGCTATTTTAAAATGTGCTTA